AAAGAAACTGGTTGGAGCTATAGTGGCTATTGCCCAAAGCTTCCAATAAGCTGCAAATTGATAAAGGCTGCTGCAGAACATGGCTAGTGCTGGTATCATATAGGCTGAACATATAGGACATGTATTGTTTTACTGCTATTCAACTATTAACTTTTAAGTTATTTTTCTGTGAATCATTCCCCTTAGGTTCTAAATCACTCCCAGTTTATTTGTTTGGAATTATTTATTGACACTATAGTTTGCTTATTTTTTATGATGAATTGCAAAGTAAACATTTCCAGAGTTAAGAGTTGCAATATCTCAAGGATCTGCCCATGTATTGGAAGGAAAGCGAGAAAGAGCCAACCATTTTACTGAGGTAAAATAAAAATAAAAGAGAAGACCCACTTCTTCATTAATTCCAGAGTAATGTGTTTACTGTACTTCTAAACATTCTCACTTAATCTATTGTGGGTTTGGCAGTGATGTAATAGAGGATTGTGTATTACTATTTTGCTTGTTAGATTTAGTAAATGCATTCATGTTTGTTCCCTTTCCTAGCAACTTCATTGTATTTTCATTCCACAAGTAATTTGAGTTTTCAAGTAACTCCCTGGGCCAAGAAACGGTGGAAACTTTGGGCAGCTACAAACTTAAGCAATTGATCCTGGACTACTAGCCTGTTTTGTGCACCATAGTTGTCTAACTTAGATGATTTAACAACCAGGAAGTCTCCTATCAAATAATTTCTATAACAGGAGAAGGAAAGATGAGGAGGGAACACTTGAAATAGTCAGTCTAGTTCTTTAAAAATCATAAGCCAAGATGCAGTATAATGCTGATCAAATAAAAATTCGGTTTCCCACTAGTGGGAACTGGAGAGTGACACATTCCGAGGGAAGACACCAAAAGGGCTTGTCTATAAAATATTTGTGCAGTGTTTGAGCAGAAGTGTGTTATTTCTTTTAAAATATGTATCTATAGTCAGATATAACCACACAAACATTTTTGTAAGTCCAACTTACATGAATTGTAGCAGTAGTAGTAGTAGTAGTAGTAATAATAATAATAATAATAATAATAATAATAATAATAATAAACAACTCAGGGAGGATTCCAACATACAAAAAGGGAGACATTCAATGCCTCAGTAAAACAAACAATACTGACATAACAATCTCGAATAAGCCCACATATGCAAACAACATTAGAACCTAGCATCAATAAAGTAAACAAGAACATAACCAAATAAAAATTATATATTGACATAAATCTAACATTTATATACCAACAAGGCTAAACTGGATGATGCCAACCATAGTGACGCTATTACTCCCTTTGGCATACTTATACTGAATTCTGAGTTTACGAAGCAGTCTACTGTTGAGCAGAATGACCAGTGGTGGGTTACTGCAACATCTACACAACCAGTAGAAGTGTCCACATTCCCTTTGAACCAGCCATTCCATGACGGCAACATGGGCTAGAAAATTCTACACAGGATTCAGAACCATTTGCACAAGGAGGCATCAAAGGCCTCGTTGGACAAGGAGAATATTGTTACTACAGAGTTTATGGGAACATTTAGTTTGAACCTGTCCATAGTTTTTCAAACAGTTCTGAGCTATGATGCTTATTATTAATCAGGCAGATGTAGAAACACCATATGTGGGTAGATGTCAAGACTTTTCCACGACTTCAGGGTGCAATATAGTGTGGTGTTTTAACTAAAACACATTTTAGCAGCGAGTGGGAGAAACTTTGGCTTGCAAAGGAATCTTTTATTATGCCAGAACTGTAAAGAGGTGGGTAATTTCAACTCAAAAGACATCATAACCATAAAGAGATATGTTTTTGTAAGCAGTGAAGAGAAGCAGCCCCATATCAGGAAGAAGGCAAATGATGGGAGGTTGCAGATTCAACTGTGGGTGTTTCCGCATTCTCACCAGTCCAGGGAGCTTTGTACAAACAGAGTGTAATTTCTTTGTGACAGAGAGCCTCCATTCCTAATGAACAAATGTACAGTATCTGTTCAGTGAGTCCCAAAATCTAGTCCTCTAGTTGTTTTGGACTTCAACTCCCAGAAGCCTCTGTTATTTTAGCCAATGATAAAAGATTCTGGGAGCTGAAGTCCAAAACATTCGTAAGACGAGAGTTTGGGAAACACTAGTCTAGTTCATAATTTGTCAGATAGGATTAACTGTGACTGTTTGTTATAAAGGAACATTTTAGAAGAACTGAAAGGACATTACTGTGTACAATTGGATCAGCAGGAAGTGCTGAATTATAATGAATTTCGACCAAAGTTGTATTTATTAATTCTTGCTTTTAAGTGGAGTTACTATAATAGAATGAAAGGAAGTTAAGGGATGAAAGGCAAATAATGATTAGTAGCCCTTCCTGTGCATTGCACTTTCGAGATTGCATTTCACAAGTGGGCATTTCTTCCTAGGGAGAGGAGCCTTAGTTGTTGAAAGGACAACAAAGACGATGGGATAGGATTTTTAATTTCGCTGGTTTTAGTGGTTTTAATTTTAACTTTACAGTGTAGATAACTAGAAGTAATAGGGCCCAGTTATGATGACTGCTTGGTATATAATTTATTTAACTGTCTCACACTGTCTTCACTTAGCTGGACAAAAAAAGAAATAATGAACAGAAAAACATTGCTTTGACAATTCAGGGAAGTGATGTCAAATCTTTACAGTAACCCCAGCTGGGATTAACTTTATCCTTTCTCTATGACAGATAATATTACCAGGTTTTCAAAGCCGCAAGAGACAATAAACATTCATGACATGCAGAGTTGACAATCGGGAAGTAGCTGTTAGCGATTTCAAATTCTGCCTAAATAACAAATTAAAGTATCAGTTAATCTAGCAATGTGCTTCTTTATAAATCAACATTTTGCTATCTTCACGAATTGCCATGTATACTCATGTATAAGCTGATCTCAGGTTTAAGTCGAGGATAGATTTAGGGGCTAAAATTATGAATTTTGATATGGCCTATAGATAGGTGTCAGAAATAGACCAATAAGTGATTTCTCTCTTGCCAGTGGAGTCCTGAAATTCAGATTCTAGCTTGTCGTGGTCTCACAATGCAATACAGGTAGATCAGGAACTTTTGGTTTATATTTTCTGCATTTATGTATTGACACTATCTTCACAGTAATACAAATTGTGATAATTTCATATGATAGTGTATATTATATGTGGAGGTCCTGATTTAAGGAGATTATTGTTTTGTAATTGAAAAGAACAGAAATATTAAAGTCATTTGCAGAAATCAAATCACAGCTTACTAAATATTAATCATGCCCTTAATTAATGTTCAGGAATCCTTTGTAGTATACAGTTGGCATAAAAGATGATTTATAGGCTGACATGTTCTTGTACTCAGTAATGACCAGAATGTATTTACAGAAAGTCAAATTGATTTTCTGTCTTTTGAAAGGATAAAATAGTCTATCCTCAAACATAGGTCATTGATTGTGCTAATTCTTTGCCTGCCATGCAGTTTGAAGTAAAGTTGCATGAGACTACCAAGAGTAACAGACTGATTATACTTGTGTATAAGTCAACATCATGTGTAAGTCGAGGGCCAATGTTACGAATGTTGATATAGCTTGTGGATAGGTCAAAGGTCATTCAGCAAAAGGGAAACGACCAACATTGCCTTGGGGCCAATCACCCCAGGCCACCATCATTTTCCTGCACAAAATTCCAAACGGCCAAAAGTGGTGTAACGATGGAGAAAGTAGAGTCAATCAGTGCTTCTACTAAGAAGGACTCTCCTCTCACCCTTTGAGTCTCTTTTGTAGATAGAAAAAGTGAGGTATAAATAAACATCATCATCATCAACAACAACATGAACATCATCATCACTATTTGCCACTCTACTCAGAGAATGGAATGCATCCTTTATTATATAAGAGTTAAGGTACAGTATTTACATTAATCTGTAGATGAGTAGACCCAGTTTTTTTTAACTTTTAACATTCCTAGACTTATAAATGGGCATATATAGTAAGTTTGTGGCAAAAGATGCAGAGCATGTTGAAAAGGTCTTGTTACAAAGGCGGCTTGCTTGGATGTATTGTAGTTTTTAAGCATCAGAAATACTGTTTTGTTTCTTATTTAGCACAATAAAACTCCTAGGCAGCTAATGTAATGTCGTTTGCTTTTTTGATTATATACTTACATAGCTAGCTATCCATTATTGTAATCCATCACCAATTAATTCAGCATCATAAAATAGTCCTAAGTAGTTATTAGTGCAGCTGTTGACATGTTTGTAATTGCCGCATTAAATAGGTTTCTGCAAAGCCTTTGTGACTGTCTTAATTTTTATTCTACACCAGACCAAATGAGTGGCCATTTGTAACACTGTATTCATTACCTTCTGAAAATTGTGAAATGTTCAGGCAGATCATTATGAAAAATTAAATCATGGGACAGCTCTACATAGCTCCATAATAAAGAACTCATTAATAAGCATTTTTGTGCTAGTTTCTCTATAAATACCAATTCATTTTGTGTGTTGATCTCTATTAACATAATACATATTAACATGTTTCATCATGCTTTTGTTCCACATTTAAACCTAGAAGAATTTTCAGATGTGTTTATCTTAAAAAAAAAACCCCAAAAACTATTGGTACAAACTTGGTGCGGGACTTATCCACAATAAATAGTAAGGTATGCTGCACAGTGTTGTTCTGCATTCATTCTTGTAGTGAAAACAGCTCACAGATTGCAATTCTGAAAAGTTTGTTCTTTAGTTAGCATTACTAAAACTGATCAGTTAACAAGTCATCCAGTTATGACCTATTTTGGAAAGCCAGAAGTGGTAGCCAGAGTAAACAAGAGTCAATGATATCTGGAGGCTACTATCGAGGGCCCTATCAGATCATAGCTTTTCAGGCCAGCTGAGGTAGTGTCTGTTGCCTAATTTGACCTTTGCAGAGAAATATGAGCTATGAAAACAGACTCTGAGTGACTATTGAATCATAGATTTCTATAGTAGCGGGAGCATATCTCATTTGCAGAAGCAAAGTCTTCGGCTACAACTCTGCTCTTTCTCTTAGGAGAGGGTAGATCTTCTGGATGTTTGGGACCAAAGAATGGACATTTTGGCTTGGACCCAGAAGTTGAGCTCCAGTATGTCTGGAGTACCAAAGTGGCTTGAGACTCTTTTTTGAGATTCAGTAATTTGAATGTTCATATATTGATCTTGAGGCTTTTTCGACTGGACAAGGAAACGATAGAGAATATGTAGCCCTTCACAGTAGTTGTAGCCATTGACCAAATTTGGCATAGGCTAATGGGAATTGGAGGACATCAACTTCTGGAAGGCTACAAGTTTCTCTCTCCTGCTTTACATGGCTCAGCATTTGTCAGTGTTATGGAGGTAATAACTCTGCTATCTGTACTTCTTATTTATTGTTCTCTGATTGGTGGTTTGAAGTGCAACCACATATGATTTCCTTCTGGTTGACATTATGTGTGTATGTGTGTGTGTGAGAGAGAGGGGGGGAGAGAGAGAGAGAGAACAAAAGAGAGATGGAGAGAGATTATCCGCCCAGTTCTACTTTTGATGTGTCTTTTGATACTAACATCCTGCTTTATTTTCCTCTTTGTGCCTTCTGGCATCACAAGGTTCACTGCTCTTCCTGCTTTTCCTGCCTGCACTCTCTGCCTGTTGTCTGTGTATGAAGTGTACAGCACTGTACACTTTTTGACTTCTCGACATTTCCTGACTCTGGCTTTTCTAGCATCGCTCAGCTTGGCAAGCTTGGTTAGCTAAAACTTAGAGGTCTCTGAAAGCTACAGCTGGAACGATGGGTTTGGAAAGTTATGGGTTAAATAGATAAACATGTTCAAGTTCAGAATGGCATGTCTTGAAATATATTGAGATTAGAGCTTGCTCAGATTTCTGCTTCCTGAATCTGGAAGAGTTTAGAAAAATTAAATGGCTTTCTGTTCTGTTTTTGAAGGGACCTTTGTACCCTAATGTACAGTACAATGCTATCACCATCAATAATAAAAGGAGTCAGAATGAGAGCTGCAAGACCTCTAATAATTTGAACTTCAGTTTGGAAAAGTATACATTAAAAGGAGGAGGGATTATTTTCATTGAGCCATATTGTTAGCAAAAGTTCAATTTTCCAACACATATTAGTGATGTCTCCAAGGCTGAATCCATATTGCCTTATAATGCAGTTTGGGACTGCATTATATGGTCAGTGTTCAATGCAGCGTAGATGCAACCTTAGACCGCCAAGTGAGCCTTAGAGGTGTATCCTGGCATATACTGGGCAACATTTCTTGCTCAGGGCTGCCTTACTTTGTTCATCTTGAAGTAAGCTGAAAGTATTCATTCAGTATGTGGGAGTTCTGGTATGAGACGTTGATTCCATTTTTTGACCTACCCACCCCCTCGTTTTTGGTCTTTGTGCATATGACTCACTATTGCTGACTAAAATCTTGCTGATTTGATTCTTTCAGCTTATTCATGATGTGGAGGGAGGAGGGGAGTTCCTAAAACAAGATATCGATCAAGTAAAAAGTAAGCCGTATAGTTTCCTGCTGATGCTTCACAGCGTTATTCTGAGTTTCTTTTTCCTATCTATGGCAGAGAATATTTAGAACAGACTTCTGAATAAGAGGGAAAATATTGGCAACCTCTGGAAAGTCTGTGCTAAGTATATATTCAGGAGGTAGTCTTTCTTCCAAAGCCTGGAGAGGGGTGCTATTTGGACCACATTTCTCAAAATTACCTAGTCACTGTGGCATACTTTTTTCAGCTGGACCTATAAACCTGTACCCAACATAGACTACCCTACTGGGAAATTCCTTACATGACATATTCAGGTTGTGCATCGTAGAACCTAGAAAATGTAATTTTGTGGACTACAATACATAGCATATAACTGCCAGGATGGTAATTGTTGGGAAATTCTGGGACTTGTGGCCCAGGAAGGATCCCCCCCCCCCCCCGTCCCTGGTTCAGTGAAATTTTCTTCCTTAAGTGAGTTACAGAATGTGAAAATGAATTTTCTCTTTAATGGTGTTTTCTTATTAAATGGCTATATTTTCTTTTGAGGCTTAGGATGTATCTGCACTGTAGAATTAATGCAGTTTGACACCACTGTAACTGCCATGGCTCAATATTGTGGAATCATTGGAACTGCAGTTTTACAAGGTCTTTAGCCATCTCTACTAAAGAATGCTGATACCTCACTACTTCAATTCCCAGCATTCTATATCATTGAGCCATAGCTGCTCAAGTGGTGTCAAACTGCATTAACTTTACAGTGTAAATGCACCCTTAACCTGAATGGTTAGAAAATGTTCTCCTCTTTCTGAAAATATTTGTTGTGATGCTCATGCCAACCTCAGAACGAATTTTGAGGGGTGTGGGAGTATGCCGTAAATAAAGATCACTAGCACTGTAATTTTTTGGGATATCCTTTTTTTGCCATTTATTGCATAATTCTTCAATCTGCTATG